TGGCCATGATCGTGCATATTGCGGTCAAACATACCGAGGAGGACTCTCAGGCCAGCAAGTTGAAGTGGGGCGATTCCACCGAGCTGGCTTTCGAGCGGTAGGGGTCCATCGTCCGCGAGGTCTCGAAGAAGACCCATGCCGAGCCATCGCCCATCCTGGAGAAGGGCTCCGCGGACGCTGCCCTCGCCGGACAGCCTGCGCTAGAGGGGGTCTTCGCGGACTGTCTCCCTCTCTGGGTGGGCCCAGTGCGGGCGAATTAGGAGCACCCCATGGCTTGGGGGACTGGGGGGTGGGCGCACAAGCCCATCGCGATCGACGATATCAAGCTGGTGGCCCGCTAGTCTCCCAAAACCACGGGCCAGGGATGGGGCAGCTTCCATCTTCGGCTGCCGCTGGAGGTCGGGGACGGTATCCTGTTCAGGCTCGTCAGCTTGCTCATCTCATGGGAGCGCAACCCGCATTGTGGCGAGCTCTGGACCATCATCATGGTTTTCATTACGAAGCCTGACGGCGGCCAGCGGCCCTTCGGGCTCATGCCGATGCTTGCCAGGATCTGGTCCCGCACGCGACAGAGGGGATGTGCAAAGTGGAAGCGGTCACCAGCAGGCTTTCTGGGGCAACTCCTCATCTCGAGGGTGCGACAAGGCAGCCTGGCTCCACAACAGTTTCGCGGCCCATGCGAAATCCTCACTCGAGGAAGCTGGGTCCTTCTACGCCGACTTATCCAAGTATTGCGAGCGCATCGGGCACTGCGAGCTCAAGGTTGCGGCGCAGGCGTGGGGCTTCGACCTGGGGCTGCTGCGGGCGCTGTGCTGCACCTATCGGGCCCCTCGGAGGGCCCGCATCGGCACCTGCCTCAGTGGCGCCGTCAACGCGAACGACACTGTGGTGGCAGGCTGCTCATGCGCCACGGCAGTGGCCAAGCTCCTCCTCATGTCGGCTCTCAGGGCAGCGGCCTTGGCGGCTCCCATCGCCAGGGCCTTCAACGTGGTCGACGATGTCTCGTGCCATGCGACTGGGCCTTGCACCACGGTAGCCCAGCAGCTGGCCGCTGCCTATCGCGCTTTCTGCGCGAAGCTGGAGGGGCCCAACCTGCCACTCAGCAGGAACAAGACCAAGGCGCTGGCCACCAGCAGCAAGCTACGTGCCGCCCCCAAGAGCCAGCCTGGCTGGGACCTCGCGGAGGGCGACTTCGTGGGCGTGCGCAGGGACCTGGGCGGCGAAGCCGTGTCGGTTTCCCACAGACGTGTAACGACCTCAGCGGCTCGTGAGAAGGCCGCTCGATGCCGAGGGAGGAGATTCACCAGGCTGTTCAGTCCCTCGATCAGCCAGGCAAGGGTCTTCAGAGCTGGCCCCACAGCTAAAGCCTCTTGGGGCTCGGCGATCATGGGGGTGCCCAGCGGCCGCCTCCGTCGGCTGCGCGTCGGGGCCATCAAGGCGAGAGACCGACTGGCCCGCGGGGCCGCCCTGGGGCTTGCAAGCCTCGGCCAGGCACGAGGCTGGAAGCGGGATCCCCTGGCGATCGTTACCAGGGCGGCGCTGATGGCCTACGTCGAGATGACCTGGGCCTCCCTGCTCCCCGAGGAGGTGGCCCGCTCCTGCCTCGCCGTTGGCCTGGGCATCGCCAAGAGGCTTCACCCCTGGCGCCTGGTGAAGGAGCCGATCAGCGCCTTGGTGCTCACGCTCGAGCGGGTCGGCTGGGGATTCACCAACGGCGACCCCAACGGGCTCCATGACGCGTTGTGTCGCGAATCTCAAATACGTCGCTACTCGCCTGCATTTTTCGGCCACGTGGTCCCCCAGGACTGCCGACAAGCCATTGGGCTTGAGGAGGTGAAGCGGCACGGCTCCAGCATGTGGGGCTGGGGGGCCCCGCCCTTTTGGCAGCCGGTCCTCGACCTGGTCAGCCACCGCTCTGAGGTGTGGGACCTGCGCCACCATGGGGCGCTGCGCTGCCTCATCCAGGACACCTACTGGTGGCGGGCCAGGGTCGGGGCGGAGGACCCCTCCGGCCCGAAGGGCTGCCAGCTCTGCGACCGCCCAGTCGGCCCCCTCTTCCACGGGCGGTTCAGGTGCGAGGCTCGCGACGGCTGGAGGCGCTTTCCTGGAACCGCTGCTGCGCGCTGCGCGAGCCGAGCTCATGGGCTACCCGTTCACGGAGCTGTTCGCTAGGGGGCTGTTTCCCGACATCTCCAAGCTGGTCCAGAGAAGGCCCCGTCCCGACGACTTCTTCCAGCGCGCGACCAGCTTGCCGAGTTGTGGGCCCTTCGCCGACGGGGAGCACGTCTTCGTGGACGGCTCAGGGCCCGATCAGAATTACCCGAGCCTGAGGACAGCTGGCTGGTCCATCATCGTCTTTGACAAGCACCGCAGGCTGGTCGCTGAGGCGCGGGGCTCGGTCCCACTGCTGGAAGGACCGGAGCAGCTGGCCAAATGCGGCGAGGACTGCGCGGTGAAGGGCCTCACCGACACCATTGCTGGGGGTCCCTACAAGCTCTACGGCGACTGCCTTGCGACAGTGCGTTGCGCTACCAATCCTCTGGCGGCGGCAGCGGCGGGCAGCCAGCGAGCCCGCCTCTGGGCTGGACGGGCGGAGAGGTTAAAGGACGCGGAGGTCATCGACGTCAGGGCCTGCTTGGGGCCCCAGGCAGTCAGGCGCGGGCTGATCGCGCAGTTCGGGCTCGATGGCAACGCCTTGGCCGACGCCCGAGCTAAGGGGGGTGCCTCTGCGGCCCGAGCGGACTGCAACGACGTCTATTGCGTCGAGGGCTGCCTTTTCATCGCCCGCCTCGCGGCGAGGCATGCGGCGGCGCAGGAGGCGCGCGTCGCAGGGTCGGGCCCCCGCGACTCCACGGGGTCAAGGCCCTGGAGATCATCGGCCTAGGCGAGTGGCCCGTCGATCCTGCCGAGGCCTGTGGGGAGAATGCGGCCCCGTCGGCTAGCGCGGACCCCACTTGCACAGGGGGGGGCCGCTGCCTGGCCTAGACGGCTCGCCGCGGCCTTGGCGCGCGCGCGGGCACTCCTTGCTCGCGGCGCCTTTCCTTCCCGAGACAGGAGAAACGTTGGCCCTACTGTTCTGCGCAACTTGTAGAGGTTATGTTTCGGACAAGAAAGGACGAGGCCTCCAGGACTACGGTCCTCCACGCCCGATTCCGAGTAGTAAGAAAAATAATGATATCGCCCTGGGTAAGCATCCCACTTGGGGTGCGAAGAGGCTCGGTGGGCTCTGGTCTCCCTCGGTTGCCGAGATTTCGTTTTGGTCCGAGCACTTTTCCCCTGTGCGCTCTGAGGTGACCCATGCAGGGGCCCCGTCGGAGGGCCCGAAGAGGCCTTCGATCCTGGAGGCGCTCCCGCTTTTCGGGCTCCGGCTGGCCCAAACCCAGATCTTGGGGTCGAGAGCTCTTGAGGCCAGGACGAGGGCCCTGGCGACCAGTCGGCGGGGCCTTGTTGCCTCTCAATCCGATGACCCCTTCGACCATCGACCGCTGGCTCCTCCTTGCTGTGGCGGGGGGGCGCTAGGGTCAGGGGCTGGGGGGGAGGGATCTTCGGGTTGTCGGAGTTTCTCTGCGTGACCTTTCAGGGTCGACTCTAGCCTCCTCCTCCTCCTCCTGCTTCTCCTCCTCCTCCTGCTTCTCCTCCTCCTCCTGCTCCTCTGTTTCCTCCTCCTCCTCCTCCTCCTCCTCCTCCTCTGTTTCCCCCCCCTGGTCCTCCTCCTCCTCCTTCCTCCGTCCTCCTCCTCCTCCTCCTCCTTTCCTCCTCCTCCTCCTCCTCCTCCTCCTCCTCCTCCTCCTCCTCTCTCTCTCCTCCTCCTCCCTTTTCCTCCTCCTCCCTCCGCCTCCTCCTCTCCTCGCTCCTCCTCGTTCCCGTCCGTCCTCCTCCCACCCCTCGTCCTCCTCCTCCTCCTCCTCCCCCTTTCTCCTCCGCCTGCTCCTCCTCCCTCTTCTTCGTCTTTCTCCTCCTCCTCCTGCCTCCTCCTCCAATCCTCGTTCCCGTCCTACCTCTCCTCCTCCCCTCCTCCTCCCCTCCTCCTCCTCCTCCCGCGAGCTGCTGCGATCTGCGGTTCTTGATCCTTACGCACTACGGGGACCCGACCTGAGCTCACAGGCTCCTCCTCCTCCTCCTGCTCCTGCCCCTCCTCCTCATTATTCTCCTTCCTCCTCCTCCTCCTTTTCCTCCTCCTCCCACTCCTCCTCATTCGTCTTCTCCTCCTCCTCCTTCTCCTCCCCGCCCCCTCCTCATCCCGTTCCTCCTCCTCCTCCTTCTCCTCCTCCTCCTCCTCCTTCTCCTCCTCCTCCTCCTTTCCTCCTCCTCCTCCTCCTCCTCCCTCTCTTCGGTAACGGTGCCATGCGAACTTTCCCACTGGGGCCTTCGGTAGAGCTCCTAGTGGGACTACGAAGCGAGTGGTGTGTGAGAGAGAGAGAGAAAGAGAAAGAGAGAGAGAGAAAGAAAGAAAACAAGGTGTGTGTGTGTGCGTGTGTGTGCCGAAGTGGGGCGGCGATGCCATGCGAATGTTGTCCCTGGGGCTTTTAGGTGGAGTCCCCTATGGGGCCAGGAAGCGGGTGAGGGGTGTGCCGAAATGGCGCGGCGGTGCCATGCGATCTTTCCCACTGGGGCCTGAGGTTGAACTCGTTATGCGGCCACGAAGCGTGTGAGTGGTGTGCCGAAATGGTGCGGCGATGCCATGCGAACGTTCCCACTGGAGCCTTAGGTGGGACTCCCTCTGGGGCCACAAAACGTGTGAGGGGTGTACCGAAATTGTAGACGAGTTCGGAAGGCAGAGGCAAGCATGGGGAAGAGGGAGGAGGGGGCGGAGGGCGGGAGGAGGTGAGAGGACGCGCGGCGCTGTCTATTCACAACGAGGACCCAACACCACAGGATGGCTGGGAACTGGCACGAATCACGCAGCTTAGCTCGAGCCCTGCCATTCGTCGTGTGTTTTTCATGACTCGAGAGGGTCTTGCGGGGGTCCGCTCGCCCGCGTGCCTCCGGCCGGCCCGGAGGAGCTTCCAGGACGGGTGGTTCTTCGCGATGAGCGTCCTCGGGCAGGCGCCGTCCCTGGCGCCGGCAGGCCTCGCGGTGAGGCCCCTCTGTCCTCCTCTGTCCTCCTCTGTCCTCCTCTGTCCTCCTCTGTCCTCATCTGTCCTCCTCTGTGCTCCTCCTCCTGCTCCTCCTGCTCCTGCTCCTGCTTCTCCTCCTGCTTCTCCTCCTCCCCCTCCTCCTCATCCTTCTCCTGCTGCTCCTCCGCTCTTGTGCTTATGAACGCTTTTCCCTGTCGCGACCCGAGGCCAGTCGGAAGGGCGGGCCAGGCGTGTCGCCTGAGACGTCCTTGCCATGTGTGAGCCTGAAGCTCAAAGACTGGGGGGGGTGGGCACGTGCTGTCGGAACGGGTGGAAGGGGGGATTGGAGGTGGAGGAGGAGGAGGAGGAGGAGGAGGAGGAGGAGGAGGAGTTGGAGGAGGGGGGACGGGCAAGCTCCGCCGGAAGGTTTTGTCGCCCACCCTTCGATTAATACCCCACCCAGAGAAAAGACTGGCAACGGTTTCACAGATGGAGGGCGGGCGGTTTTCAACACGTGGCTCTCGCCTCATCGCTGTGCGCATTCGCCTAAGTTCAAAGTGTGGTTCTACTTTTAGCGCCGCGCAGATTCGTTTCAAACAATTGCAAGAGCTTCATTTGTTCTCATTGTTAATGCATATGAGCTGGTTTTTTAATTATCCCAGTGCGACCCTACCTAGGAGTTGGAGCCCCTAGGAAAGCAGCATTAGCAGTAACAGTAAAGCTAAGCTAACGTTAAGGTAAAGCTAGGGTAAAGCTAAGGTACAGCTAAGGTAAATCTAATGTAAAGCTAAGCTAAAGTTAAGACTATGCTATGCAACATTGTGCTAGGTTATGCTATGCTGTGCTATGCTATGCCATGCTATGCTATGCTACGCTCAGCTAAGCTACATTAGGCTAAGCTAAGCTCAGCTAAGCTAAGGTACGCCAAGCTAAGCTAAGCTAAGCTAAGCCGAGCTAAGCTAAGCCAAGCTAAGCTAAGACGAGATAAGCTAAGCCAAGCTAAGGGGGCGCTGTGCTAAGCTATGCTAAGCTATGCTAAGCTATGCTATGCAATACTGTGCTATGTTATGCTATGCTGTGCTATGCTATGCCATGCTCTGCTATGCTACGCTAAGCTAAGCTACATTAGGCTAAGCTAAGCTAGGCTAAGCTAAGCTAAGCTAAGCCAATGTAAGCCAAGCTAAGCTAAGCTAAGCCAAGCTAAGCTAAGCCAAGCTAAGCTAAGACGAGATAAGCTAAGACGAGCTAAGGGGTGCGACTGGGGGAACCGCGGGGCGGGGACTGGGGGAACCGCCCGGGGCGCGTTCCACTGCCCGGCCCCTTTAAGCTAAGAGAGTAAGAGCCCTCTAGGCAGAGCCTAGGTAGGGAAAAATTGAATCAGGACTGTCATGGCGCAGCAGTTGCATTGATTCGAGGTTCCCCCTCCCCGCCTCCCCCTCTCTTCTGTCCGCCCCCCCCTCTCTCCTTCCCCCCCCCTCCTCATCCTGTCCCCCCCCCTCTTCTTTCCCCCCTCCCCCCGCCCCTCTCTCCTGTCCCCCCCCCCCCTCCTCTATCCTGTCCCCCCCCCCCCTCCCCCCCCCCTCTCCCCTCTCTCCTTTCCCCCCCCCCCCCCCCCCCTCTCTCCTGTCCCCCCCCCCTCTCTCCTCCCCCCTCCCCCCCCTCTCCTGTTCCCCCCCCCCCCCCCCCCCCCCCCCCCCCCTTCGCGTGTCAATTCTTTCGTCGTTGGCGTCCCCCCCCCCCTTGCAGAGCGAAGCTTGAGCGAGCGCCCCCCCCCCCCCCCCTCTCTCCTTTCTCCCCCCCCCCTCGCGTGTCAATTCTTTCGTATGTTTTCGTCGTTTGCGTCCCCCCCCGACCCCCCCTCTAGAGCGAAGCTTGAGCGAGCTCAAGCCCAAGCTCTCAGAAACTCACACTCCGGATCGGCGGATTTTCTCATTGCTGTCCCCCAAGCGGGGCATTTACCTCAGTGGAAGAGGGAGCTTGCAGGGAGGGTGCATTCCAGCATCATTGATGAGTCTTGGGCTTGCACTGGTCCTTCTCCTCCTCCTCCTCCTCCTCCTCCTCCACCTCTTCCACTTCTTCCTCGGTGGTTTTACGTTGCGCGGGCTCTAGGTCCCCCTCTTTCTTCTCCTCCTCCTCCTCCTCCTCCTCCTCCTCCTCCTTCTCCTCCGCCTCCTCCCCCCCCTCCTCTGCCCCCCTTCCTCCTCCTCCTCCTCCGCCTCCTCCTCCTCCTCCTTCTCTCCTCCGCCTCCTCCGCCTCACTCCCCCGTCCTCCGGCCTCATTCCTCCGCCCCTCCTCCTCCTCCTCCTCCTCCTCCTCCTCCTCCTAGTCCTCCTCCTTGTCCTCCTCCTCCTCCTTGTCACCTCCTCCTCCTCTTCCTCCTCCTCCTCCTCCTCCTTCCTCTCCTCCTCCCCCTCCTCTTCTTCTTTTTTTTAGCGTTGCGCGGACTCTAGGTGCAAAGCTTGAACCGTTCACCAGAGAGACAACGACAAGGCAAAAAGGCAGGCCCGATCTGGCAGCAATCAGAAATAATAGATGGGCAAATCGGTGACCGCACGCGAATGAGCAAAGCATGCGGAGTGTGCTGCATGGCTTCTCCTCCTCCTCCTCCTCCTCCTCCTCCTCCTCCTCTTCCTCCTGATCCTACCCCCCCTCCCCTCCTCCTCCTCCTCCTCCTCCTCCCCCTCCTCCTCCCCCTCCTCCTCTTTCCCCTCCCCTGCCCTCTCCTCCTCCTCCTCCTCCTCCTGCTCCTCTTCCTCCTCCTCCTCCCTCCATCTCCCTCTCTTCCCCTGTCTCTCCTCCTTCTCCTCCTCCTCATTCGCGTAATCCTTCTCCTAACTTGCCATTGATATTCTCATCGTCCTCCCTGTCCCCACTGGCGACTCAGAGCCATTCGCTATCCTCTCCGCTTCCCCTCCTTGTACCTCTTCTCCTCCCCCTCCTCCCATTCCTTCTTCCCCGTTCCCTCTCCTCCTCCTCCTCCTCCTTTTTTTTTTTTTTTGTCTTTTTTTTTCCTTTATTTTTTTTTTTTTAATCTTCTTTTCCTTTTTTTTTTCTTTTTTTTTTTTTTCTTTTTTTATTTTCCTCCTCCTCACTCATCCTGCCAATCTTCTTCATCTTCCCTCCCAATCGCCTTCTCTCTTCTTCTTCTCATTCCTGAATCTGCCTCATGGCTCCTCCTGCTGTTCCTCTCCTCCTCCTCTCCCGCCTCCTCCTCCTCCTCCTCTCTCATCCTCCTCCTCCTCCTCCTCCTCCTCCCCTCCCCCCCCCCTCCCCGCTCCCCTTCCCTTACACATAACTCCTCCCCGTCTCATTCCACGGCGTGTCGGTGGGGCGGACCGGGCGTCTCGCCTGAGACGTCCGCTCGAATTCCGAGCCTGAAGCTAGAACTTTGCAGCAGTGTCAAGGATGTTGGGCGGGTCGCTTCCCAAGTTGAGCTCCCGCCTTTGGAGCGCGCGCGTTCGTCTTACAAGCTTGCAGCAGTTTCAACGACTGATGGGGCTGTTTTCAAACTCGAGTTTTCGCCTTCGCGCCCCGCGTGTTCGTCTCACACGCTTTCGGCCGGTTCGAGGATGGGGAGCGTTTTAAACATGGGGTTCTCGCCTTAGCGCCTCGCACATTCGCCTAACAAGTTTGCAGCCGCTCCAAGGATAAGAGGGCGGCTCTTTTTCAAAATGGGGTCGTCGCCTTGGTGCCGCGCGCATTCGTATTCATAGCTCGCAGCCGTCTCAATGATGGAGGGTGGCTTCTTTTCAAAATGCGGCTCTCGCCTTGGCGCCGCGCAAATGGGTTTCAACAGTCATAACATTCATAGGGATGGTAGGCGATTCCTTGTCCGAGTGGACTTTCGCCTTGTCGCCGCGCATATTCGTAGTTACGAGGATGGTGGGCGATTCCTTTTCAAATTGGGGCGTTCGTTTGGGATCCCGGTTTTTCCAGGCCAGAAGCCAGAACGCCTGGTGCAGCTGCCCGGACGGTCGGCGGCTCGTTTGCAGAGTGGGGCTCTCGCTCGAGTCTTCAGAGAGATGCACAGACGGGGGCGGTGCTCGTTCCACGTGGGGATTTGCCGGGACACCCCGCTGAACTGTACCGTACTGCTGCGCGTTCCTTTTTACTCGCGGGGGGGACGGAGGAGGAGGAGGAGGAGGAGGAGGAGGAGGAGGAGGAGGAGGAGGAGGAGGAGGAGGAGGCGGAGGCGGAGGCGGAAGGCGGAGGCGGAGGCGGAGCGGAGGCGGAGGCGGAGGCGGCGGCGGAGGAGGAGGAGGAGGAGGAGGAGGCGGAGGCGGAGGCGGAGGCGGAGCGGAGGCGGAGCGGAGGCGGAGGGCGGAGGCGGGGGGGAGGCGGAGGCGGAGGCGGAGGGCGGAGGCGGAGGCGGAGGCGGAGGCGGAGCGAGGAGGAGGAGGAGGAGGAGGAGGAGGAGGAGAGGAGGAGGAGGAGGAGGAGGAGGAGGGAGGAGGGGGAGGGGGAGGAGGGAGGAGGAGGAGGAGGAGGAGGAGGAGGAGGAGGAGGAGGAGGAGGAGGAGGAGGAGGAGGAGGCGGAGGCGGAGGAGGAGGAGGAGGAGGAGGAGGAGGAGGAGGAGGAGGAGGATGAGGAGGAGGAGGAGGAGTGGGAGGGCGAGGAGGAAGAGGAGGAGGAGGAGAAGGATGCAATGGAGTTAGTTATGTTTCAACAAGATGCTCTCGCCTAATTGGTGGCCCATAAGGTGCTGGTCGTTCAAGGGGGCGCTTCTTGAAGTGGACAGGAATGCCTGTTTTGACCGGTGAGGGGGGGACTTGGGACATGAGCGTGTACCGGGAGCCTCGATCACGGGTGCTAGCACCACGGGTGTTTCGCATCTTTGGATGACCAGTTATCGTAAGTCCCCCGCGGGTTTTGAGCTCAAGCATTGGGCTTGGCGGATGTCGCAGATTGGACGGCCCAGTCCTCGCGAAGGGCGTTAGCCGTAGATGCGCCTCGCGCGCGCGTGCCGACTCGTGGGGCAGATCCCCCAAACCGTGCGTTCACTTAGCGGGGTCGTACTCGCGTTGCTAAGTAGTTGGATGGGTCGGGCGACGTTTCTCTACGTTCGCGCCCGCGCCCGCCCTGACCTTACGGCGGAACTTATAGCGCAACAGATTGAGAGGATTTCGCTTCGTTCGCGCCAGAGTCCGCCCCTATGGCGCAATTTAAGGCACAGCATACGGCACGACACACTGGATGGGTCGGGCGAGGTTCCGCCACGTTCGCGCCCGAGCCCACCCCTATGGCCGATGGCGCAATCAACGAGGCAACCCACGGCGCATCTTATGGCCATGCCGCAACCTCTGGCGCAACCTGGGGGTGCAACATGTACAACGTAGGTTGCACCACAGTAGTTGAACCGCTTAGATGACAACGCCGAAATTGCACCGCCTGCAGTGCGCTTCGTATATGGCACAGACTGAACGCACTAGCTCACTGTTTGGGGCGCGCGCTGGAAGACATATGCAACCCGCGCCTTTGTACTTATCCCTACGTGTCGCCCTCTGCCCCTCCTGCACCTCGCCCTGTTCGCTCATCCCTCCGTATCCCGCCTCTCCACCTCCACCGGATCCTCATTAGTTTGGTTTCGGTGCCCGCCGAGGGGCGACCATGACGCCGCTGCGAGCAGACGAGTGAATTTCCACACCGTTGAGCTGCTTCTCGGCTGACCATTTAGCGCGAGGGCCCATCGAGGAAATTCTTGACGCTTCGCGTATCTCCACCAGCCCATCCAGAAGCGACGCCCAGGCGAGTTGAGGTGATGAGGGAAGTGTGGGAGCAAAGAGAGGGACAGCCGAACCGTTCGACGGAGGAGGAGGACAAGGAGGAGGATTGATGTATGAGGGAGGAGGGAGAAGGATGATGAATATGATGAGGAGAGGAGGATGGAGGAGGTGGCGGAGTGAGAGGAGGGATTGGGTAGGCGGATAAGGAGGAGGAGAAGGAGGAAGAGGAGGAGGAGAAGGAGGGGGGATGCTGATGATGAGGAGGAGGATAACAAAAATGACGAACATGAGAGCCTCCTACGATGTCTCTTGGGAATTATTTTGGATGCCTCTTGGAGGGTATGGGGGGCATCTTGGGTGACTCGGGGATCCTCTTGAAGCCTCTTGAAGCCTCTTGGGGGCCTCTTGGGGGCTTCTTAGGGGTTCTCTTGGGAGCCTCTTGGAGGCCTCTGGAGACCCTCGGGCAGCCTCTTGGGGCGCTCTTGGGAGCTTTAGGGGCGCTCTTGGGCCCGATGCGTCGCGGACTCGGTGCGTGACGACGTTCCGAAACACGTAAAGCAACATGTCACGGATTCGGTGCTTCTTGGGCCTTTTTGGGGTTTTCCTCTGGCATCTTGGGGCGCTCATTGGGGTTTCATCGGCATCCAAGAGGCCCCAACAAGGCACGTACTAGCAAGCATCCCGCCGGACTCTTTCCGACGGGGTTCGACCCAGGACTCACTGGAGGGTCTTCGCAGGGTCTTTGCATGTTTTTCGCAGGTCATTGCGATGGTCCTTGCAGGGTCTTTGCAGGAGGAACTCTGCAGCGTACTGCAGGGGGTCCATGGGGAGAGAGTCGGGAGATGGGGGTTATGAGAAGTTGGAAGGCGAAGCTTTCATAACCACGTCACACACACACGCACACCCAGGGACTGGTTGGATTTATGCGAGGTGCATTGTTTAGGTGATCGAAAAATCAATGTTCGAACACATGTTTTGATGTTCGAACAATTTCTCTGGTGTTCGAACAATCGTTTTCGTGAGCGAACACGTTTCCGGTGTTCGAACAGTCGTTTTTGGTGTTCGAACAAGTTTCTGGTGTTCGAACACTCGTTTCCGTTGTTCGAACTATTTTCCGGTGTTCGAACGGTTTTTCCGCTGTTCGAGCATTTCTGTACATATCGTTTTTGTACTAGTGCTAACAACCACGCAATGTTCGAACAACGTTCCTGTTGTTCGAACATTTTTTCGATGTTCGAACAATGTCGCGGGCGTCGTTGCATGATCGCGTGTGCGAGTAACGACCGTGCAAGTCGGCTGCGTCGGGACGGCGCTCCCGCACATCATGTCAAAGCCTGGGCAGAGGGGTCTGCTCGCAGGGAGACGGGGGCAATTGCGGGCCGAAGCGTGTTCGCAGGGATATCCCTGGGGCACACTTTTGGGGGGCCCTCTTGGGGGTTCCGCTGGGGCTGCGCGGGGCTCTCCTGGTGCGTTCTTGGAGCCAGTGGGGGGCTTCAATGAGGCCCAGCGGGGCCCCAAGGGTGCTCGCAAGGCGGCCCCCAACGGTATCATGCCGAGGGCTTTTGGTACGTATGATATCCATGGGGGCCTTTTCTGCCCCTCTCGCTCACTCTTTTGGGCCCCTCTTTGAAAGTCCGTTGGTGGTGTCTAGGGCCTTACAGCGCCCTCTATGGGGTTGGGGAAGGGACCCCGGGAATGCCCAGGAGGGCCACCAGAGGGCCCACAACCAGCGCCCCCCGACGATGGGGGGCCCTTTGGGTTCTCTCCGGAGCCCTTCGGGGTATCTCTTGGAACTCTCTCAGGGTCGTCTGGGGACGTCCTGGGCCATCTTTGGGGCCGAGCGACGGCCCCCAGCTGGGCCAACGACATCGTACCAGGGGGTGTTGGTAATTATGATGAAGAATGTCTTAGGCCCTTCTCGGGCCCCTCTTGGATGCCCTTTCACCCGCATATTGGAGGTCTGTTGTCGCTGTGTGGGGCCCTTCTGTGCCGTCTTTGGGGCCAGAGGAGGGCTTAGCCGGGGGGGGGCCAATTCGCGCTCCCCTTCGGGAGCCCCCAAAATCGTTTCTGGGACCCCTCTTGGGGCGCTCTTGGAGCGTTCTTGGGCGCTCTTGGGGCCGTCTTTGGGCTCTCTTGGGCCTCTCTCGGGGCCCTCTTGGGCCATCTTGGAGCCATCTTGAGGCCTCGCGAGGCGATCGGAAGCGAAAATGCGAGAAAGCAAAAATGCAGCTCTTTGGAGGTCTTGGAAGCCTCTTGGAGCCATCTTGGAACGTTATTTGTGCCTTTTGGAGCATATTGGGAACCATCTTGAAGCATTTCAGGCTATCTTGAGCCATCTTGGAGATCGTCTCGGGTTCCCTGAGGCGCTCTTGGAGCCGTCTTGGGCGAACAAGTACCCTCTGACACCTCGCGCCCCCCGCCCCCCCGCCCAGGTCCAGGGGGGGGGGGGGAGGGGGGGGGGCAAACCCCTCCTGGAAGGGAAGAAGGGGTTCGGAGGAGGAACCTCTCTAGACGACATGCGCCCTCAAGGGCTGGTGGGACTCATCAGCCAGATGGCGTTCATCTCCAAAACGCGTTGCATCACACCGTGCCCAGTTTCATACACAAGGTACACGTATCGTTTTTGCATGTTGTGTGGCTCGTTAAGGAACGGCAGCAATATGTGGCACCAGCCACTGCCCAGACTCATGCCACGTGCCACGGCGCCTCATGTTTGCGCGCCTCAGATCCCCTGACCATACCAAAATCACAACTAAACCCAACACGCGCGTGCGCGCAGAGAGTGCGGATCGACTACACGCACACAGCAAGAAACGTTGAAAAGGAAACAGGCAAGCCGATGAGCGAACACTTTCTCGAATGCGCATCCGACGGCGCTGACGACGACGCCACGGGCCCGACATTTCGCATGCGCATTAGCGCCTGGACCACGCCAGCACATGCGACGTCAATGCCTTTGCGCGCAAGAAGCGCGCCTCAATACAGGCACACACGCGCGCAGTTTGCCTAATGCGCCCGCGCAGCTTACTCACCACTGCCGCATGCAAGCAATGCGCGCACCAGGGCAAGTACATCGCAACTCTGTCGCAATAGTGAGCGCGCATTGGTTTTGGCATCGTTGCCTTCCCCGTGCGCCCCGTGTTCGCGCTTGAGGCTCTGCCTTGCTAGATAGAGTGAACGTAGGTTTGTTAACCGACGCTCACGCAGCCAGACAGGATAATCGCCGGTCCTATGTTTCGAAAAACCAGTGCTGGAAACACCCGTCATCGGTATCGGCAGGTGTATTGTAGCATCGTTGATACAGTTTGGGGTTACTCTGGTCTTGCTTTTCCTCCTCCTCCTCTTCCTCCTCCTCCTCTTCCTCCTCCTCGTCCTCCTTCTCCTCCTTCTCCTCCTCCTCCTACAGCAAGTAGAATGTGCAGCGCCGTTGGCGATGTGTTGGACTCTGTTCGCATTGTTTTGTCCTCCTCCTCCTCCTCCTCCACCTTCTGTTCTCCTCTCCTCCCTCCTCCTCCTCCTCCTCCTCCTCCTCCTCCTCCTCCTCTTCCTCCCCCATCCGTCCTCATCGCCACGAGTTCCGACGTGGGAAAGCTCGGGGTGTTCATGATCGCGTGCTACTCGCTGTGCGTGACCATCGGCTGGGGCGCGGGCCTAGTTGTAGCATCAAAGGACTTCCTGGATGAGGAGGGGGAGGATGGGAGGTGAAGACGAGGCACAGCTGGAAGGGGGAGGATGGGATGGAGGAACATGAGGGGCAGCAGGAGCTGGATTAGGAGGAGGAGGAGGAGGAAGAGGAGGAGGAGGATGAGGAGGAGGAGGAGGAGGAGGAGGAGGAGGAGGAGGAGGATGGTGAGCTTCTCCTTCCCCCCTTTGACCCAAAGGCCCTCGACAACATCGGAGACGGCATCGCGGGTACAATAGAAAAGCTGAAGGCAGCCGTTGGGATCGACGACGGAGTGAGAGCGGCTGGGACCGACGCAGCTTCGGGAGACACATCTGAAATCATTAGTATTTGACTGCCATCTTCGGTATCGGTTAACCGATCCCTATCCCCATCTCCATCCCCTTCGAGACCCCCACTGAATTCTAGACGCTTCGCGTATCCCCTCCAGCCCGTCCAGAAACGACGCCCAGGCGAGTAGAGGGTCGTCCTGAGGGGCTTTTCGGCGCCTTGGGTGCCTCGGGGGGGCCTCTGTGGGCCGTTCGGGATCCTGTTTGGGGCCTCGGGGGGCCTCTTGGGGCCATCTTGGGGCCTTTGGGGGCCTCCTGGGCGCTTCTTGGGGCCATCTTTGCCCCCTCAGGAGGCCAAAACGGGGCCAACATCTAAGTAAAATCAATGGTTTTGGCTTCCTCGCCGAGGCCGTTTTGGACCTCTCTGCCCGCTCGCGCCCCCCCCCCCCCCCGTCCAGGTCCACGGGGAGGGGGTAGGGGGAGGGGTAAAGCCCTCCCCGAAGGGAAAGAGGGAGGGGTGGAAGAGGAAACGCCTTAAACCACCGACGCCCAGAGGGCTGGTGGGATTGCCTCGATCAGGGAAGTGAACAGCACACAGAGGAAGCCAGTATGAGACATCTTGGGATCCCTTGAGCCATCTTGGAGATCATTTCGGGCTCTCCGAGGCGCTCTTGAAGTCATCTTAATCAGTGCCCCACCACCCCAAGAGGCCAACATGTGGCTAAAACCTTAGTGCAAACAATGGTTTGACAATATCGCCGAGGCCTCTGGGAGCACATTGGGTGCCTCTGGGGGGTCTCTTGGGACCTCTTGGGGGTCTCTTGGGGGCCTCCTGGGGGCCTCTTGGGGGGCCTCTTGGGGCCATCTTGGGGCCGTCCTGCGGCCTCTTGGCCTCTTGTGGCATCCTGGGGGCCTCTTGCAGCCATCGTGTAGGAAATCGATCAAAGAAGAGGGGAGCTTTAATTAGCCCTGCCCCCTCAGAAGGCCAAACTGGTGCCAAAGCCATATTAAAATCAAGGAGTTTGGCTTCCTCGCCGAGGCCGTTTTGGACGCTCTGACCGCTCCCCGCCCCTCCTGTCCAGGTCAGTGGGGAGGGGGTAGGGGGAGGGGTAAACCCCTCCCCGAAGGGGAAGAGGGAGGGGTGGAAGAGGAAACGCCCTAAACCACCGACGCCCAGAGGGCTGGTGGGATTACCACCCCAGTTGGGGATTACCGCCTACATCCCCATCTAGGGGGGTAGATCGGCCAGTGCGGCCCAGGCCACGCCGCTGGGGATGGGGATCGGTTAAACGATACATCTTTAGCCGCCCATCTACTCAGAGTCATGAGCTGCTCACTCCAAGAGAGTGCGTGCTGTAATGTTGCATGCCTGACCCGAACAACGTTTGCGGAGCCTAGAGTGGGCGTGCTTTATATGTTGTATTTGTATTTGGGAGCCCAAAGTGCGCTTGCTTGACGCTGGAAGTAGGGGCTGTCTCTGGGGACGCCAGCCGTGATCCTGCTTTGGCGCCAGGCCGCTCGGTGGATGGAGAAGTCTCCGACAGCCCACGTGTTTTGTTTGCTTGTTGCGCGCAGGGGCAACACTGGAACGCTCTAATCCTCGTCCTGGCTTCGTCTGAATGCAAGTCATGCCGCCACTTTCGGGGACGTCGGCTGACCACCGCACCAAATCCTGTCGGCCGCGCGCACAAGGGGGTAGGGGAGGGGGGAAGGCTTCTTGGAAGCAGCCTGCTTCTTAGAAGGCGGCGGCCTTGTCTGTAGATGTGGGGCCCGCGCCTTCTGAGAAGCGGCTTCCTTCCATCAGGCGATCGCAAACACGGATCAAGGGGCGTGGATTAGCGACGGGTCCCGTTTCCATGGGAGATCGTTGATTTCCGCCGCCGAACGAGGCGGCACCGTCCGCATTTTGGTGAGGGCACCTCCCCCGATCCGTGGACTCGGCGACCGCGCGCCAAATCCATGGATCGCTAATCCAGGTTTGCGCGTCCTCCTCCTCCTCCTCCTCCTTCTCCTCCTCCTCCTGGTCCTCCATCTCCTCCTCCTCCCTCTCCTCCTCCTCCTCCTCCTCCTCCTCCTCCTCTCCTCCTCCCCTCCTCCTCCTCCTCCTCCTCCCTCTCCTCCTCCCCTTCCCCTTCCCCGTCCCCCTTTCACCTTCCCCTTCCCCCTCCTCCTCCCCCTCCTCCTCCTTTTCCTCCTCCTCCTCCTCCTCCTCCTCCTCCTCCTCCTCCTCATCTCCCTCCTCCTCCTCCTCTCCTCCGCCTCCTCATCCTCCTCCTCCTCCTTCCTCCTCCTCCTCCCCCCCTTCCCCCTTCCCCTTCCCCTTCCCCTTTCCCCTCCTCCTCCTCCTCCTCCTCCTCCTCTTCCTCCTCCTCCTCCTCCTCCTCTCCTCCTCCTCCTCCTCCTCCTCCTCTTTCTTCTCCTCCTCCTCCTCGTCCCTCCTCCTCCTCCTCCTCCTCCTCCTCCTCCTTCTCGTCCTCCTTCTCCTCCTCCTCCTCCTCCTCCTCCTCCTCCTCCTCCCCCCTCTCCTCCTGTGCGCGCCGCCCATCCTGGTCAGGCCCCATCCCGGGCCCCGGAGATCGGCGCCGAGCGCACGCTCCGAGGCCCAGCCCGGGTCACCGAGCGCGCTCCACGACAGTGGAGGCCCATGCCCGGCACGAACGACATGGGTACGGAAAGAATGGGTACAATGCCCAACACCAGCTCCTGTTCATTTTGAGCAGGACTCGCTGTCGATGTCGCCGCGGCCTGTGTCCATTTGAGACAGAAG